CTGAACCGCTGCCGGGCACCGCGCAGCTCGTGATTTTCCAAACACAATTTGCGTATTCTCCGCCACACAAATCGAATTTCCTTGCAGCTTGGTATTGATTGGTAATTTGTTGAGCAAACACTCGTCTTAATTTCTATTTGACTTTTTATTTGTGGATTATTTGCTACGTGACCTCATTTACACGCCACGAGCGGCAAAACTTGCGTCTGTGCTCAGTGAGCAGAGAGCACTGCATGCCCATTTTCTTTTCGGTCAAACATTTTCGCAAGCAACATTTTCAATATGTATGTGTGCGGTTTCTGTGTTCCGTTTTCCGGACCAAGGAATTGAGATGAGAGAAAAACAGATGTCTCGAACAGATTGAAACTGATGGGAAAATCCATTCTTCTGCATGCACAAAGTTTTGAAGTTTTGAAGTTCACATCATTGAAAATGAAAGACTTCCTGGTATAAATCAAGCTTTAGTTTTGGTCGTTTCGAAAATATCCTTTCCTTCTCTTCTGGTTGGATGGGGGAACGACGTTCTTTGTCTGTGGAAGCGCAAACATTGGTCTTTGTTTTTTTGGATTTTTGCTGTTTAGACACCGGAATTTGAAAGAGGACAAGGTGCATTGTTTCATTCGAAACAATTTGAATAATTTTAGGTTTTGTTGCCTTCGGCCAATTAAACTGCACAACCATTTCTTCTCAATGGAGTAGTACAACGACACGAAACGTAACACTGACTATTATTTTCCATGTAAAATTACCACTCAGTCTTCCTTCTCTCATCTCTCTCACTTACTCAGTCTCTTTTTCACTCTCTTTCAATCCCATTCTCTCATTGAACAATCCACCCTGAATGAAATTTGATGGGAATGCGAATTTCCTCGTATTAAATCCAGTAATTTCAAATCGATTCGATACGCTGGCGAAATAAATTGTGCGAGAATCAAAATCGTGACCATGGACTAACTCATAAAATGTTATCAAAATCCGATAAAATTATTGAAATCCCGGACTAGAAAACCAATATTTGTCTTGTTGGACCGGCCAAAAGATGAAAAATGACCTAAGATTCATATCAAATGGAATTGTAACCAATTTTTTCGTGTGATTGTAAAGCAGCGTGACGACCACAGCATGTCTATTTCTTTAGCCTAAACTTTAAGTAATTCATTCGCCATTTGATTTCAATCTAACGACCGTTGTCTTGAGCTGCACATGGGGAAAAATCCATAAAACTGTTGTGTTTTTGTGTAAAACGATGCACTTAATTCGTTACGATTTGTCACAACACTGGTGACGCGGATACTAGATGCAGTGGTTGCATTTGACGAAAACCCACTTTCGTCTATGCATTTGGATCAAACGCCGCTTGGTATTTGATTTGAGGGGTGGATTACATGGTGCTCTGACATAGGCTTAACTACTGCTACTGCCAGTTGACCAGTTGATTTATGATGCGATTGCGAGAAGACAAAGCATCGTGTTAGGGCTACACGCACGCACATACACACATGTCAGGAAGTCTGGGCGAAGAAGAAAAAGAAACGGAACATTTGCCATTTTCATTCTGAATGAAATCGTAATAAATGTACACTTGAATCGCAGAAATTTACTTTTTTTCGTTGAGAGACGGTGATGGAGATGAGATTGAGAGAAATAGAGAGAAAAAGGACGTGATGGAAAAAAGATGACTTTGAATGGATAGAGAAAAAGACGAAGAGAAAGCGAACAAGTGAGATAGCAAATGAAAAAGAAATGAAGAGAAAGAGGGAAAACGGTAGAAAAACGGAAAAAGAGAAAAAGAAATTCGAGAAAAGTAAGCAGATAGAACGAAACCCACGAGAGAGGAAAAGAGAACACGAATTGGGTTTGGCGATAAGAAAAATTGGTGGAAGCGTCATAAAACGACGATCGAATGCATGCATTCCATGTCATTTACGATAAATTATGAGTGTTACAATGGAATTTTTCGTTGCTTGGTTGGTCCGATGATGTTGGTTTTGGGAGAAAAATATTCGCATTCTTTTCTATAGAAAATGATGGTGTAATAAAAGAGTCTTTGATTTGAAGAGTGTTTCGATTTCAGGCGAGATATGTGTATATCGTGTAACGTGACGCGAATCGGCAATATTGTCCATGCCATATTTCATTCGTTTCGGGTGTGTAATTAAATGGATCAAACCACTAGCCATCGAAAAAGAATCGATTTTACGCTGATTTTGCCTCGACTTGCATAGTAATATTGTGGCTTGAGTTGACAGCAACTTTGTAACTTGACTCGCAAATAATTTTGTTGCTCGCATGCTATTCGCTTCCAAATGGAATGCATAGTTTACGGCGTAATTAAAAAAAAATACACACACACACAAACGGTCGACCGTTGAGTGTGTGTGTTTTGTCGCAGCAGAGAGTTGAAGACGGCATTCAACAAAAGGGACAAAGTGTGTGAAGGAACATGAAAGCACATCAAATAGCGACGAATTAATTGTCAAAGAGGAGTTGAAAAGCATGTTTTGTATACGCGCGCACATACAGAACGTAGAAACAAAAACGTAGCTGAAGAAGAAGACGGTTGAAACGCTCGCGCTCTCAATAATAATGACAAGTCTTTATCAATCCGAGCGCATTTGTGTCGTAATTTATTAAGAAATACACTTTAGCGGCAGTCCATTTAAATTAAGATGTGAATATTGGCATGGTAACGATGCAGTTTTGTGCGAGATAGACGTGAGCTCGTTTCAAAGACCATTTGCCGACACCCGTTTGATGTCGACCGTGAGAGATGTAACCGGATAATGCACACCACTTGAACATCAAAAAATAATCCACCGAAATGAGATGAACGCGATCGCTCGCAAACACGAGAATAAAAATCTAAATGATTTTTCGAATCCTTTTGTGTACACGGTCTGAATGAATGCATTGCACACAATGCGCACCACAATTCAATTGCAAAAATCAGCGGTCAGCCTTAACACTAACGAACTCCCCCACACTGAAAACCCAAAAAGTGATTGAGGACGCGATTTATATTTCTCTCTGTGTGTGTGTGTTTATGTACATGTTTCCGGTGATGAGTTTATAGCAATCACATATTTTAAATCGGATTTTGTACAAAATTCAAACCGAAAAATATTTCACATTCGATTCCGTACATGCATTTGTGTCTCTGTGTAAGCGCTGATTTTAATCGAAATACGTGCAAATCAATATTCAACATACAGATGACGGTTTTCGAAATCGTTCCGCTCGATTAACTGCTTTGTAATTAGAAACAGCCGCATGAAATTTTGAAATACACCCCCTCATTGTAAACAACAACACCCGAAACGATTTGATTTTCACCAAATTCAATAGACTCATTCAACTCTCTCGCTCTCTCTCTCTCTCTCATTTTCTCTTGATCTCTCGTTCCCATTCACCGACACCGACTCAAATGCCCAACTGTTAATTAATTATTGACGTGCATATCGCCGGAAATCGACTGCAAAACATTCACCTTTAGGGATTGTTTTGATGGTCATTCATGGAATTATGGTCGATTTACCACATTTCAAATACCATTCGCGCTATACACATCGCACACTCTTTTTCGCTAACAAAAACGTAAACCCAATTTTGTTTTGCATTGTTTTGATGATACGAACGATGATCATGATGATTTTAAATTATGTCAATGAATCTTTTTTCCTGGGCAAATGCATCGATTTCAGAGCATTTTTAGTTGATGGCAGGGGTGATGGAGATGGTTCTCATTGGACTTTTATTGCATTGCAATCAATTCGACTTGATAAATTGATTTTCGATGGAAATTTAGAACGAAATTTTTTTTTCCATCAGTGAAAATGTTGTTGAAAAACTATAATTTAGAATTTTCTTTAGAGTCTTTGACCAATCAGACTCTGCTACAGAGTCTATGCTTAAACACATGTTTTGAAATGACCGGGTAAGCAATAGAACGGCTTTAGCATTGAAATTTTGAAGAATTTGCAGTTTTAAAGATAAAAAAAAATCTACATGACTAAATTGATTGGTGGTAGTTTCTAATTGAAATTGATGATCTAGCTTTTTCAATATTCAATTTGGTTCGAACGGAGAGTTTGACTTCAAGTTTCTTTTTTTTACCTAATTTCGTTTAAATTGTTTAACTTTTCTAAGAATTAAATTTGAATTTGACCCTTTTGATCTAGTTTTTTCAGTACTTTTAATTGCAAGCTTGATTGACTCCGATTTTGTTCATTCCGCTTTATAATCAACATTTTTTGAGGAGCCAACATTAATTTTGTCATTTTAACCCGGTTATTTGATGTATCGATTTGAAATGTTGTCATCGTTCGATAAATCAATTTTCTTTTAAAACCAAGACAAAACTCTTCAAACACTCGACTCTCTCGATGTATATGAAAATGTTGATTTATGTGAAAACCCAAAAAAGTGCGTGAAATGTGTACCTAAATTAGGCAACCTAATGTATAATTAGAGTAGGCAATACATATTATGATAATGTCACTATCCCTGGTGATTGTTTAATGAACATAACCGTGTCTTCAAAGCAAATTTGGTAACCAAACGCGTCAGCATTGCATTGTAATCAAGAAATTACCAAAAGAGTGTGTATGTGTGTATACGCAAAGCGTGTGTATTTGGAAAAGAATGTGCGATTTAAAGTTCGGAAGCCAATTAAGTTTCCGTTAAATCACAAAATGCACGTTCATTTCATCGCTTGTGTTTGCCTTATCGTGAATTATTCAGAGTGTTAACATTAAATCAGCTAATATTGTCAATTCATAGTTACGCTACCAAATCACACACGCGCGCACACTATCGGCTCCGTAGTGTCCGAAAATGAAGGAAACCGTAAATCGTTAATGAGCTGAATATTTGCATGCGATATGAACTGACGTCCACTTATTAAATAGTGGTGGTGTGCTTAGAATTATGCATAATATTTGTCGTGTCATGACACCAACCGATTTTAAATGAATCGATTCGTGGTATTCCGAGGCTACCTATTCAATTCGCACTTAGCTACACGTATCAAGCGGCGCATAATGTACGGCCGAACGTGGTGACAAATTCGATCAGTACGAAAATTCAACCGTCTAGTTCAAGTCAAGTGAAGTGAATTGTCGTTCAGTCGAAGGCAATTAAACAAATTTTTTCCTTCTTTTTTGATTTAAGTTTTTTTTTTTGGATTCCTCATTCAAAATGCTCGTTCTTCGATATTTAGTGCAACACATCGACACAGCGATGAAATCAAGAGGTGCAGTGAATGAAAATTATCGCAATTTTCAAGTGATAAACATAGCCCAGAAAACAAATGAAAACGAAATCGTTTTGAAAAATGTTTCAATTTCAAACGGAAATTTGTGTGTTCTTTTTCAGATGCACGTTTACAAAGTCTGCCTTGTATGTCGGTGGAATTCATTATAACGATAGTCACTCTGTATTTGTTATTCGTGCTGAAATGGGGACCAAAATTCATGGAAAAACGAAAACCATTCAACATCGAACGGATTTTACTCTTTTACAACGTGTTTCAAGTGCTCTGCAATTTCTCCATTGTCTTTTATGTACGTATACAGTTTCGAATGTGGATTGAATGGTTTAATCATCGAAAAACGTATTTCAAGCCGGGAAAATTGATTAACAATTTTTTTATTTAGCTCACATTTGGAGAAAAATTGAAATATTTTTTTTTTTTTAGGTGACTTATGAAATCTTTGCGTTGAAAAGTTATAAATTAGATTTCTTTTGCGAAGAGCTCGACTTTACCGATAGCTTCGTCGGTACACGCAGTGCTCAAATGTCATATTGCTATTATTTGATCAAACTCATGGATTTGTTTGACACGATATTCTTTGTGCTCCGGAAACGAACGCGACAAATCTCATTTTTGCATGTTTATCATCACGTGGCTATTTTGCTTGCCTCATTCGTTGGTGTCTCATGGTTTCCAGGTAATTATGATTTCTATCAAATTTAGCGCTGATTTTGTAAATTTTCGTTTTAAAATGAATAATAATTTGTATCGCTATTCAAAATGTTCGCAAATCAATGTGAAAAACATAGGTGGTCATCCATGGCTGTTTGGTATGCTCAACTGTTTCGTTCATGTCATCATGTACGGCTATTACTTCGGCTCAGTTTACAGTCCCAAATTAAAGGTAAACCTTACCATCAAGCGATCCATCACCCAAATGCAAATTGTAAGAATCGATTTCTTTGTAAATTTTTACCGAAAAAAGTTTCATGTTCAACTCGAAAATGTTTTTGTGTTGCAGATCCAGTTCATGTTGTCAATTGTACATTTGAGTATGCCATTCTTTGTGAGTGACTGTGGCTATCCGAAATCAGTGCTAATCATTGGCATTTCGCAGAATGCAATAATGATGATGCTATTTTCGGACTTTTACTACAAAACCTACATGAAAGCGCCGAAACTCAAATCCAGCTAAAGCATTCACCGCAGAAAAAGAGAAGAAAAAACACACCGCCGATTTTTGGCCATTAAATCCATTGAAAATCCGCAAATAGAACCCTAAGAAGCTAATTTAAGAATTGAGCATGTTTGTGAAGAAGCTGTTTAAATGTAGGAATAAATCCAAACCAAAATCGTGTATTTATGAACGTTTCAAGTGCGAGCCCAGAAAAAAAATTCGTTTGTTTTTTTGTGTGTTTATTTGGAAATGAGGAGACTTGTCGTTGATGATACGAAGCCACTTAATGTCGACCGTCAAGAGGGAAATATTGAGGTAATTAAGGGAAATAAGCTTCTTTTCAGTGGTTTTATCACTCGAAATCTCTAGACGCCTCACATTAATTCAACTTAAACTACAATCGGAATCAAAAGTGGCCGCAAATTCAATTGTTTTCCGCAAAATTAATGGGTTTAATTGAATTAACGTAAACATTTAACAATTCAGCGAGTTATCATTAGAAGAAATCTTGGCTTCATTGTTTGAACATCGACTCAAATAAACCGAAATAATCCCGATTTCTTTTAACCAACGGATGACTCGTGACAATGAACACGGTTTTCGAAAGAAATTTTTTTCTTGGGAGGAAACAGATTTTAATGTCGCGATAATTTCACAGTCAACAGGAACTCTTTACATGAACGTAGAGTCTACGTAGACACATGAAACACCCAGCCTTTCATTTATTTCAAAGCGTCACTTCATTCATTGCTTTTTTCAAAGAAGTTTACAGCTAATATATAATACAATACCCAACTAAAACTACAACATAATGCATGAACGGTTTATCAAGAAAAATCTTGATAAAAATGAGCTGAAAGCAAGTCTGAAAGTGAATCCTGTAGAATTCGGTGACTTTCGACTTAAAACAAATAGTTCCGGAAGGGAAATAATTCAGTAGACATACGCAATACTTAAGCCAATACAATGCTAATTTACGCTACATTCTACTGTATTAGTTTCTTCCTTTTAAATTCCCAATATATTGTGAAAATATAAATTTCTTTGTTTGAAATCGTAAAATCGATGATGAAACGATGGATCAAACTTTTCTCAATATAAACAAATAGACTTTCAGTCGACTATTACTGGGCATCTCCACATCTCCACTTGATAGTAAAACTTTCGGCCTACTAACATAAAAAGCGATTTGATTACATTTGAACTACATTTCTAGTTTTTGATGTTAAAATATGTCAAATGCCCCGAATGTTGCATTGAAATTGTGTATGATTTGTGGTAATTTCGAGATTTGTGCATTTTAATTCAATTTGACGCACAATATCGTCGCACATGATCCAAAGGTTCATGTTTTATTTGCTCCAAAAATGAGCTGCGGTCAAATTAAGTAAACGGAATTCAAGCGATTGACCTAATTACATTGAAACAATTTTACAGTTTGATTGACTCTAACATTGTCAGACCGGGCGACTTTATTTTTCCAAATGAAGTTCAAAATGAGGAAAGATTTTCGCCATGAAATCAAAATAGAACCATTTCTGTAGTACAAAAAGGAGGCACTTCTTGAAAATGATATAAATTTTGCTCAAAACAGAAACACTTTGAAGTGTCAAAAAATGTCATATTTTAAAAAATGGTTCTGTGCTAAAAAAAAACGATTAAAAAAATCATAAGCGGATTTACTCACTAATGACATGATGTTTGGAACATTTGCTATCTTCTTCTGAATCCTCTTTCTTCCATGTTTACTTTCAGAAAGGTATGCGTAAACATTCAGTACATTTAGATTTAGTTTCCATTTGCATATGGATGCAGTACATTCACTTGAAAGACAACATCTCCGTACTGAATTGAATAGAAAATATTATTGTTTATTTATTTTCTTTACAATTGCAATGAAATTTATCGTCGTTTTCGCCATTTTGACTGGTTTTGGTGTTATAAAATGTGAAACTGGTACGTAGCCGTTTTGTTATTTTAGTTTCAAGTGTTTTTGTATGCGCAGTGAATTATTACCAAAATGTGCTATAGAAACGTATTTTTTAAGTATCAACTGTTTATTATTTTCTTTTTCTTTCGATTTTCAGGATCGATTTTATCGCATGATAAGGTTGTTGTTTGCTCCGTTTTCTCGGAGCCATCACCTGGATTTTTCGATTCGTTCGGAAATAAGTTCAAAATTGGCAATGTAGATTTGAACCTATGCACACATCTCGTTTACATTCACATGATTTCGTATGTGTTTGAAAGTACGTATTTTATCAAAATTGGTTCATTTTTCTAGTATTTTTGGTAAATTTGATTTAAAAGTGAATCAAGAACAGGCTAGATGTTCGTTGACACCTTTGAAAGTGATTTAAGATTGATCTTAAACGCTTTTCATTCAACTAATAATGATCGTTCCATCCAATTTGCTAATCAATTACATCTCTTTCCATATTCCTGTCATTTTGAAGAGCCTTGGGATTCAACAGACAACTTTAGTGATGAGAAATACAAGCAGATCGCAAGTTTGAAGAAAAAATTCCCACATTTGAAGGTATATTTTATTACTCCAACACTTTTATTTGTTTCTTTTCGGTGTTTCAATGAATCTGAGCTCGATTTAAATTTCCCAGATTTCTTTGGGCTTCCAAAATTCTCCAGCTGAATATCTCAAAATATCTTCGCGTCGTGAGAGTCGTCATCGGTTTGTTACATCGGCAGTGAGTTTTATTTTGCGTTTTGATTTCGATGGACTTAATTTGATATGGAGTTATGAAAAGTGAGTGTCCTTCATTATCCTATTTGATTATTCTTCCATTTATCTCCTAACTCGACTATTTTTGTCTATTTAATGTAATATTTACTGCAATTTTCAATCTAATTTCAATAAATTAATACACTTTTTTTTTTCATAGTGATGAACCGTTTGGCAAGAAAAGATTCGGGCTTCTTGTGCGGGAGCTGAAGGAAGGGTTTAAACCGAAGAATCTTCTGCTTTCATTCACATTTTTCAAATCGCGGAACTTCGCCGTACCACATGGATTTTTGGCCATGTCAAATAATGTCGATTTTCTGAACGTTCATCCGAATTTCACGGAGAACTTGATCAAATCAGGCGTACCAAAGTCGAAAATTGTCATGACGATTGAGTTCAATGGACGTGGAAATTTCGGCTACTATTCTGCCTGCGGTTTATTATCGAAAGATGAGGGTTGGGAAAAATATTATGACTCAAAAATCGGAGCAACGGTCGCAACGCGTAGCATCGGAAATGGACAGACGAAAAAGATTATATTTCCATGTTCCAGCCGTTCGGTAGCAAATACCGTTAGACATGCCGTCCGACGCGATGTATCTGGTGTTATGGCTTATACCATCGACTCGGATGACTCACAGGGAAAATGCGGATTTGATGATGATACATTCAATGATTTTGGATCAACAAAAGGTGTAACTTTACACATTCCAACCAGAGAAAACGACACATTTCCCCTGCTTAGGACCATCAATGGAGCAATTGCTGTGGCAATCGAGGAGTTGAAACAAGAAGAACATCTGCGGAAATCACGTTAATCAGTTGATTGGATTTAATGAAACCTTTTCAAACGAAATAATTCCCGAATAAAAACAAAATTTGTCTTTTCCCATTGATTTTCTATGATTGAATAACAAAATTATAACTTGGTAACTGTGTGATTAATCTCATTTCAATACTACATTTTGGTACATATGTCGAATTCTGAAAAAGGTGAAAATGAATAAAAATGTTTTGCTGATTTCAATGAAAAATTGGTATTTAGTTCGAATTTCTAAGAGAGAATGCGTTTTCCCCTGTTCCAATTCTGTTCCAGAACAACAAAATGAACTATGAATTAGTCGTGTTTGACTATTACTAGGCGTTCTCCATTCACAATAGAACTTTCAGTTGACTTGATAACCTGATAGAATCGAACGGAATCGATGTGCTTAACTGAGTTATCTATTGAATGACATGTTTTTTTTTTGACTAAATTAATTGACTTTGCAAATAAATTCATTAGAACAATAGATTTTTAACAAATAAAATGCGGACTCATGTTGCCTATTTAATTCGTCTAAATTTGGTTTTTTTTCCACACATGAAATCAAATGTTTTTTGCTATAGGTGGCCCGTGCTATTGTGAAATTTTTAAATTAAAATTTTGGAATGGGTAGCCAGCCCATTAATTTCGGACATTTGGCTGGCTAATGATTGACTAAAAATGATTATGTCGAACAAAATATGTCAAAGTGTAGTCAAATTCAGTTATAGTAGCCCCTCTCAAAGCCTATGAATTTGGCGAGTAACTTCAACTGAAGATGTGATACTGATGGTGAGTGAATCTACGATATTTTTCTGTTGAAAAATGTACAAAATGATACTTCGTTTCATTTTGAATTCCGTTCATAAATTTTTCAAACATTTTCCTAAATGGTTTGCTCCATTATCCATTAACATTTGCTTCCAAAAATGTTTGCTCCTTAACAACAAATACTTAATTTGATGTCATCGTTTTTTCGACAGAAATGTTTTCCGTTAGACTGAAAGCAATAAGTCGTTTTTTGTTATTGCTGTATGAACCTATTCGCAGGGCTATCGGTTTGCATGCTAGTTCAGAAAACGAAAACCAAACAAAATAGCAAATGAGATAACGTTTCGATCCTTTTACTACCTAAACTGTAATACATATTTGATTTGGATATGCAGTCAAACTGAAGAAAATACTAGAAGTTATGTGTTCCAATGTAATATTTACATGAAAATTTCTTCGATATAAGGCGCAACAGAACCTTCAGCAGGTCAATTTATTTCATTTTGGGTCATAAAACTCGGGTCATATATAAGAAGAAACAATAATAAGGCACAAGAAATGTTTTCATTTTCATCCGAACCGACTGCATGTGTTGGGTTCAGATCGTAAAATAATTTTGTGTTGCGGCTGCAAATACATTTTGTTGTAAAATCCCTCGAAACCCATATTTTCACAGGCCGTTCGATTTTTCAACACATGCACAATGAAAACGCATTCAGCCAAATGATTAAATGTTCATAAGATAATGCACACATGCAGTCTAAAAATTCGAAAGTTTGGTTATCTGTTTCTAATCATTTCAGTTGCTTTTGGCACTTTGGATGAAGCGGACCCAAAAATTTGTTGGCAACAACGAACAGTTAAAATACAAAATCTCTACCCGAAGAGAAATAAACTGATTGGTTGAACATAAATTGAATTGAGTTCTTGAAGAAAACGAACATTTATTCATAAAGTAGTTCATTTTTGGAAGTATTTCTTGCAGTTGAACATTCATTTTGTAAATTCTTCAAGTAAATGTTCATTTCATCAAGATGCGGCCATTAAAAATTGTAACAATTTTCGGTATTCTCGCGATAGCTGCGTGTGAAAATGGTATGTATTGATTTACAATATTTTGTGATTCACAGTTTTCGTTTTGAAGCCTCGTGTTTTAAACAAAAAATGCACACGACATTTGCAAAAATCATTCTGCTTTCTGCCGAATTGAGATTTAAAGCCAAATTACAGGCTGAATACACAAATTCAATCAATTTTGATGAACGAATCGACAAATATTCAAAATTTTCTAATAACATCAGCTTTTTTATTCACTTCAGGCCCATCTCATGGAAAAATTGTGGTGTGTTCCGTTGCGGCAGAACCTTCGCTTGGTTTCTTCAAAGCATCCGGCAATCGATTTGAAATCGAAAGTGTTGACTTAAACTTATGTACCCATCTCACCTACGCTTATATGGACGCATCGAAAAGTATGTAATTTTTCCCTTTAACCTAGTTTTCTTTCTCATTCTGCGTAAAATATCGCAAAATTGTCTCATGTTTTTTTTTATTTTGAGATTTTTTGTATATAAAAATGAACCATTTTGTTCAACGGAAAGGGGATTATTTTTAAATACGTGAATTTTACTGGCACTTTGACTTACTCAGCTATTATTGATTGCTAAATACTCTTTCTTGTTCAATTATATGAACTTATATCTTCATTCTCTATTTCTTCATTTTTTTCCACCAAAAGAGCCCTGGGATTCGATGGACAGTTTCAAAGAAGCAAATTACAAGCAGCTTGCCGACTTACGAAAGAAATATCCGCATTTGAAGGTAAATCGACCAATCAGCTTCTTCCAATCACATGAAATTCACTCAATATTTTCTTCACAGGTTTCTTTGGGCATAATTCAATCTTCGGATGAACATTTCAAAATGGCAACCGGACGTGAAACCCGCAAAGCCTTTATCGATACAGCTCTCAACTTCACATTGGCCCATGGTTTCAATGGCCTCGAATTGACTTGGAGTTTTGATAAGTGAGTATTTCATTATTTTTGGCTGAACAATTGAATTTGAAGAAAAGTTTCAAATGACGAGACAAAATTTCATTACTTTTGTTAATATTACCGTTCACTTGCAGCGATCAGCCTTTTGCGAATGAAAGATTTGCAAAATACGCGGCTGTGCTCATGGAGAAATTCCAATCACATAATCTGTTGCTTACATCGATGTTCGTCAAAATGAAGATGGGACCCTCTCAACCTCACGATCTTTTGGCGTTTTCGAAATACTTTGATTTTATGCTCATTGCACCGAATTACATCGACGGTTTGATCAGAATGGGTGTGGCATCATCGAAAATAGTTATAAAGACGGAATTCATGGGACGGGGACGAATTTCGCCCGATTCTATCCATAAAACTTTGGGATACAATGAAGTGTGTGAAATGCTGTCCAGTAATGGAGAATCGAAATGGGTGCAATACTATGATCACGAGGTCAAAGCCAAAATTGCCAAACGTGAAAATGGAATTGGAAAACAAATGGATGTTATTGTATTCCCTAGCAGCCGAACCATTGCAAATGAAATGAGATATTTTGTGCGTCGTGAGCTAGCCGGAGCATTGGCATACACGTTAAACGTTGATGACTATCTTGGTAAATGCGGAATGGATGACGATACATTCAACGATTTTCGGACAATAAGTGGCGTTACTCTAAAAATTCCAATGCGACACAACACCACATTTCCTCTACTCAGAACTATGAACGACGCTATTTTAGTGGCAATCGATGAATTCACCCAAGAAACAAACATTATGCAACAACCACACTACTTTCGATTCTAAATTTTATCCTAACAAGTCGGAACAAACGTAGTTTAATCGATCAAACATCTGATTGAAAACTTTTGGAATATTTGTTTCGAAAAGAAACGTTCATATGTTCATTTTTTTCAATATCAGAAGCTTCAAATTCACATTTTTTGAACGAATCGTCATTACTTCAACCATTTTTTTTATTTTCAACCAAATTCCATCGAAGAATGTGTATCAAAATCAATATATCAATAAAATAATCATAGCCCATATTCAGATTTGTTCTTAATGGACCTTAGCATACTTTTAGCCGTTATACTTTTAACTAAAAATCTATTATTTCTTTAGAAAAAAAAATAAAAATAAATTCCTTTCCAAAAACAAATCGCATGCATTTTATTCTTCTTAGAAGTTCTTAGTAATAAAACCCTAATAATTCGTAGTATCGAAGAATGTAGGCGCATATTTGTGGTGTCCACTCCTCCGCCTTATTGAGTTGGCTTTCAATTTGTCTTTTGTTCAATCGCTTTGCCCGTTGTATTTCATTTGGATGAATATCTCTTGGATATTCGCACCTATCGCAATGACATTCAAAATTCCAATTGTTCAGTTCTTTCTGTCGTTCGATTTTGGACTCATAGTTGAATGGGCGATAACTGATGTAAAGTTGTTCGCCTCGTTGAATTTGTTGATTTGTGATGCAGACCATTTTATTGCCGCAAACGTAGTTAAGCATATTGGGTGCGCATGAATGATTGAACATTGATAAAATGTCATAAATCAAAATTCGTTCACATTCACCTTTGTTTGCGGTCAAATTGATTCGAAATGAATTTTCATAAATCACTGACAAATTATGAGCTAAAAAGTGCTCTAAAAAGTGCCTGCCATTTCGTTTATCTAGTCTGAAATATTTGTTGACTTCAGGAAAGGTAACGATTTGTTTGTAGGCATTTGAAGCGATTTCCCGGGCTTCATTCACCTCTTGTTCAGTTGGAAATTCCTTTGGCTGTAATTTCAATATACAATCGAACTTTAATGATCTTTTATCACTGGCCGATGGGATTCCGACACGATTTTCAATCGCCTTATGGACAAAATCACGCAAATCATCGAAATCACCGAAAATGTCCATTGCTTCCAATACGATTTGAATTGCACACTTGACATCTAAATCCTTGATCTTGTGAAACGGAGTGCCACATTCAAATTTGTGCGTTGAATTTACGTTTTCACAACTCAAATCACAAAAGAAAACCATTTCACAATTTTTACACGGGATAAAAATCCTGTCCGTCGCATGGCAGGTCAGACAATATGGAATTGTTTTTCGTTTTTGGACAACCGAAGCGAAAGGCGCAGTGATCAAAACTGTTTCACCTACTTTGATCGATTCTGCTGCATGGACCGAACGGCCGAAAACTGGAGATTTTGTGAAAAAAATATTCTTCTTTAAACGCGAAGATGTTTTTGATCGATTTTCAATTTGTTTGGTCTGCAAACGCTTTGAGCGACGTTTTCTGTCACCATTGCGGTGAACACTTTGCTGATGCACAGACTCCTGCGAACTTCGGCTACTGCCCGCAAAAAGATCCACGAAGTGATTATCCCGTCGATGCGTTTTTCGACGCCAAAGTCTTCCGTAAATTTGCATTTTATTCGAATTGAAAGAGACCTTTTAGCATTGAAACTTCAAACAATTTTCAAGAGAATGAACTATTTATTTTTATTTTTGACAGTGTTTGAAACAACTTATTTTCTTTAAACGTTTTGAATTAAGAAAAATCAATGGAGACTGCGTTTTCCCTCATTACATTGAATTTATTTTGAGTTCAACTTCTTCTTACATCAAACAATTTCCACATTTGGATATAATCCATGAAAAATCCGGAGAACTATTCGAACATCTCGATTTCTTTGCACTGAAAACCAAGTCCGCCGCTGAAAATACTCATTCGGAATGGGCCATTCGCGATCTAAATAAATGATTGACAATAAATTTTCTTCGCTTCGAATAATTCAATATTTTGACCTTTTCCATTTAACATTTTTCTAATTTCGTTCAAAAAATCCCCAATTGAACAAGTTTAAAAATCCCCCCACAGTCTTATCACAGAAGCTCTATCGAAATTATATTCTGAACACATATTTACGACGGAATCGAAATGAATCGAGAACGCAATGATTGAGCCTTTGTTTTGGTAATTCCCCGATGTCATTAGCTGAAACACTTAGGATTAACATCGAACTGTTTTTGTCAGCAATTGATTGCACTTTGATTTCGAATACTTTTTGATATTGATGATAATTGATCAGTAACTCCAACATGACTATGGTTTTAACTTACCCACGAATAATGGTGAAGCTCAGTACTGCGCTATCTCTATTTTCAAACGTATTTCACTCCGTATCAGCTGTTTGTTATCTACTGATTTGTTCTTCTAAACACCCAAATCTATGAAATAAAAGCTAACTTATTCGATAATTCTGAGACTCAAGTCTAATAATTCATTAGTTCTACGTTGAACGAGTGGATGTTTACACCTAGGAAGCGTGTCATTTAGTAAACAAACATTTTGACACGGGAATTTACCTCTTATTTTTTCGAAACAGTATTAAACATTTGATTCTATAGTGATCAAAATGAGTTGCATTATTCTAATCGTCATTTCCACGTTTTGGGTGTTATCCGCTGCTCAAGGTATGTTCTGAATGTACTAAAATTTAATGTTTGATTCGGATTGTAAGTTTTGTATTCAAAAATTTATTGTTCAATAAGCTATGTTTACTCGGAAGCCAATAAAATCATATTATTAACAGAGGTTATTTTGACAGAACGAAACTCAAATGAGTTTTATTTGAGCGAAATAATATCACTTATGAGTGATAAAAATATAAATGAGTGATGGTTTGGGATCTTTTTCCATGGATTTCTCTATAAAAGTTGAAGATTCGATCTCAGCTGCTGTTGGCAGTGTCGATTTGATACAATGTGGTAATGGAAGAATTTTGTTCGACTGAAGAAGTGAGAAAAACGATTTTGTCAAACTTATTAATGGATTCTGTGTGTGAAAAGCAATTAGAATAACCAATGGGTTATCAAATTGATAAACGTATCGGTTATTTTGCAGCGGATGTACTACTTTCATCGTTCCGATGGGCATTCCTTTGATCTACGAATTGATTAATTTTTTTAATGCTCACCACCGGGAAATTCCAACACTAAATATGTACCCATAAAATTTCATCAAAAACAGACTTGACCATGATTTTTGATTTTTGATTTTTTTTTCTAATCAAAAACTCAACATATTTTTATTAACTCTCCCCTTCCCCCGGAATTTTTTCAAAATATGTTGTTTCTAGGCACAAACTATCATCCCATGCGGTCGTGTGTTCAAGCCAATCTGTAAAGAAAACTATTTATGTCACTGATTTCATTCTTCACAGAGTCACAAAACACAACCGGTCCAACACATGGGAAAGTCGTAGTGTGTCCCGTTCCAACAGAGTCAGCCATTGGTATTATTGGAAATAATTTTAAAATTGATGAAGCCGATTGGAATTTATGCACACATCTCATTGCACTTGATGGCAAATTTCTTTTAAATAATGGTATGAAACAAATGAAAAAATTTAGCCGCGTTAGAAAAAAAGCATTTTTCTCAATTTTCTCGTTCATTTTTCTTTCTTTCTTTTTATTATTGTAATGTGAAATTTTGGCTGGATTTTAACAAAAAAAAAAGAAATGACAGAACGAAACAAAGAGGAAGATTACAAACAATTGTCAAATTTACGAAGCGAATATCCACATTTGAAGGTAATTTCCTAAAATACCTATGAACAAGTGTAAAAAGAGAACTCACCTTTAAAGGATAACTTTCTCATTTAAATCCACCAGTTCTTATAGAAACTGAATGAAAGCGTTGATTTTGTTTAATTGCATTCTTTGCCAATCTTTTGAATGATTACAGATTTATTTGGCGGGACGTATTCAGGAGTACTTCGTGGACTTTTTAAAGGTTAATGATTCAACACGTCTTCAGGAATATATTAAAGGTATCACCGACTATTTAAAGAAACACCATTTCGATGGATTGGATTTGAACTGCGGCGAGCTTTGTACAAGGTATGAAAAATCCATGCCTTTGTCAGTCTGTCAAAAATACTCTTTTTTGAAGCAAGTGACATAAATTCTGTCCACAAATTTTTCTGCCTTGTAGTTTAGTTTTGGAATTCAAAATTTGAACCAAATCATCATACAAACATTCGGTTCCAGATAAATTTCACAGGGCCTGATGAGTTTTTTTCTCTTTTTCTTTACATTTGTGCCTCTTTTTTATACTTTCAGCCTTACAAAAATCTCAGACTTCGACAAAGTCAACTTATTGTTGCAACATTTGAAAGAGAGTTTTAAACAAGATGATACCAAGCTATTACTCACATCATCATTTTCGATGTCTACGGAATTTTTAGCGGAACATATTGATTACTCAGCTCCAGCCAAACACCTGGATTATTTTCATTTCTTGCCAATTGAATACGATATGCATCTTTTGGAAAAGTACAATGTATCGCGGACAAGAGATCAATTGGATATTTTGTCGGTACAAGAAAAGATAGATAGCCTCATTGAGTCGGGGGTACCAGCGAATAAGATCGTCATGGGTCTGACTTTCGGTGGAGTCAATTTTCAATCAGAAATTTTAGGCGACACTGTCTCAAAATTTGATCGAATTAACGGATACAGTGCTATATGTGAAATGATTACGGGCAGCGAGGCTGACAAATGGATGTTTTACTATGAGGACGTAAAAAAATTGACGAATGCTTATTACAAAAATGGAGAAAAAAATAAGAAACGAATCATCATGTACGGTGAAAGCCGAATGGTTGCTAATCAAATGAGATTTGCTGTGAGACGTGGCCTAGCTGGGGCCGCCACAATCACCGTCGATAGAGACGATTTCAAGGGAATATGCCCACTGAAAAATGACACATTTTATGACTTTGTACCGGATAATGGTATCATTTTGCATTTCCTGGAACAAAAAGAATCCACTTTCCCACTTTTGAGGACCGTCAACGAAGCGATCACTATTTCACTCGAAGAATTAGCCCAACGAAGCAAAGGAAGTGCTTCACATTCCACAGTCAATGTCTTTTACATAAGTTTTGTTTTAAGTAGTTTTGTTGTTCTTATGAATTTAATTTGAAAGGCGGCGTTGCACAGTGCAACACTGGTCAGACAATACAGGAGTGACTATACTATTTTATAGTATTAAAATATAAATCAAAACCAATCATTTGAATATAGTTTACAATATTGAAAATTGTTGCAAAGATTCTTTTGAAAGAGTCTCTTTTGAAAGACTTTTTCGATTCAATCGATGAAAGCTCTATCGAGCGGATGGGAAAAATTAAACCCTGCCACAAAAACGCTGAAAAATATGATATGATCTACCAAAGGGCTTGCGACGCCTGAAATACGGCAATATTTTCATCTATATTTCAGTCATATTCCGTCATATTTCAAATATTTGGAATATTTGATATATTTAAGGCATATTTAAACCACATTTTGACGTTTTTTTTGGTATTACCCGATATTATTTTGACTATATCTATATGAAATATTTCTCTCAATTTTCAAATATATGAAATATTTGAAATATAGCCAAATATGTCAAACATACGAAATATCAAGATGAATTTTGTAAACAAATAATGCTTCAATATTTGAAATATTTGACATATTTGAAGATATTTCACATATATTTGTTCGTCGCAAGCCCTTCGTGATCTACTTCCGAGGCCAAATGCAAAAAAATTGAATGGTCAATACAAGGAATAGCGACATGGGCTATCTTTTGAAGCGAAAAAAGCATGTAAAAAAACACCACCCTTTTGAGATATTTCACTTTTAGTACGTTGACCTCATTTTTGGAGGCCCCAATGGAGTCAAAGTGGGTAGGTGACTTCCATTCCAATTGTTATAGCCCCATCGATTATCTTTCCAACGGTTTGGCAATGTGTCAACTACTTCTTAGTTAGATTTCAGTTGGCGCAAACCCATTTTTTCGAGTTTTTCCATTTTTCGAAAAACTTACACTGGGTGAACTCGAAAATGTGGCCCACTTACAAACCCAAGATGTTGGTTTTCTCAATTTCTACCGAAAACAAGACTCCATGCAAATTTTCAGCCAATTCGGAGAGGGTCAATTTCGTGTGGAATGTTCGATTAATATCCGCTTGAATATTTTTATCAGGTATTTTTATGCGATATTTGTTCGTTTGTTCGTGTGTGCAAAACCATCAAAACAGTCAGTTCACTTTATGCAATAATACAAACACACAATGAATACACAGTGAAACGCTCACAAGTCGTTTGGTGAACGATAATTTAATTTCAAACGGATATTAATATTCGTTAGCGTGCTCTGTTAGCAGTCAAGAAGAAATAACTAAAATCAGTCTCATATTCAGAGCTAGGGGAATATCACGAAAAAAATACTATGGAATTTTTATAGATTTTTTACATTTTTGTAAAATTAATTTTGATTTTATTACATTTTGCGAGATATTTGAGATTTTTTCAGATATACCGCGGTACTGCAGTTTGCATAGTATTGTCAGCACCACAATGACAACCATTTCGACCGCATGACAATAAAAATTACAGGAAAAAATACTTTTTGTTAGTGGCATTTTGCTTAGTGAATCTAAAATTCATCATTTGAAGTTTTGTGTATATTTCAATACAATATTCAAAACATCCGTAAATATTCATATTTGGTTTTGAAAATTTGACAGTTCGGGAGTGCTTACTAGACGCCATCTTGAATTTTGATATTGAACAATTGAACATATCTTAACAAATCTGCAAAAATTCACAATTTTCTTCAAAATTCATACAATTCATACAAGAAACAGATGAAATTCGCCATATCTGAAATACTCCGCATATGTCAAAGTATACAGCAGAATCCCAAATATCTCACCGTATTTCACATGGTGAATATGAGTGAATAATACAGATTATGCGAAATATTTGAAATAACATAGATTTTTTTGGATTTGAATGAAATAAATGAGATAAAAATCTCACGTACCGGGCATACCCGCTGCCACCCGATGAATATACCAAGATCGCTTAATAAATGAAGAAAAACGACACGCAACAAATATGACAAGTAACTGAGAAATGAATACATCATTCTGAGTTGGAAGACATGCTCATTACAAACGACTGGTGCAAAGTGTGAAGTACAATTGCAAAGTTCTAATTCAAGCTGAACTCGAGCATGACACAAACACGAGAAGAAGCTGTAAGGTGGTGATGATGATTATCAATGAATGACAGCAATGGCTCGCTTATTATTATCATAATAACAGGGACTCAATTGTTAGTTTATTATTGCTTGTTGCATTTCTTTCATTTCGTAAAGTGTGTACGTCTTGAATGCGCCAAGCCGAGGCTCACACAGATCTAGAACACTGAAATACTACTCTGATGAAGATGCATGCGTAATAATGGGCTGTAGTATTCCACACTGGTGGTAATAGTTGGTAAATTGAGAAGTCTAGCATTTCTCAGAGAGTGAGTATGAGTTAAAACTATTTACGTTGTAATGGTGATTGACACTAGTTGTGAGAAGTTTATTTTTCAATTTATACTTGTTATAGACAAACGGTTAAGGTTGCACAAATCCAAGTAAAAAATCTTCTACTCAATACTGTGAGGAATTTAACAGACAAATAACTTGAGCTGTTTTTTCATAGAATAATAAATCAATGGTCGAACAAAGGAGCAATTTTGTTATGGTCAAATCATCCGATTATTCAGCTCAGTTAATTCAGCTCTTTTTCACCTGAAAAATACAGATCGATCAAAAATATCAAACCAATTCCTTGTTTAGTGAAAATAATAAATATTCAAAATTAACATTGTAAGCAGCATGTTGAACAGGTATCTCATTCAACATTAGTACTGGCTCCTCTACGAATGAGAAGATCAACGACATTCCTGTGATCTAAAAAATATAAGGGATCGATGGAAAAAATCAAAACATTTTCTTATTTTGTGAAAATAAGTATTCAACATTACTATTCGCTGCAGCTAATTGAATAGGTGTGAAATTATGACTATTTCGAACTTCCATGTCGGCTCTGTTACGAATTAGAAGATCAGCGGCATTCAAACGACCTGAAAAATAACAAAGATCAATGAAAAAGATCAAATCAATGTTTTATTTAGTGAAAACAACTATTACCATTATAAGCAGCTACGTGAAGAGGTGTATCTCCTATATTATTTGTAATATTAACATCGGCTCCTGCATTGATAAGTCTCTGAGCTTCTTCCACATTACCTGACCTAGCAGCATTATGCAGAGGTGTATTTCCGTCTCTTCTGCTAATTAGAGCTTGAAGAAAAAATTGTAGATCAGTGCAGTGAATCGAAAGAAAATGTCTCATGTCCGTGAGATGAAACTTAATAAAGAAATGGAGGTTCAATCTTACCGTTCTGGTTGGCTTCCACAATTAAGAACTGTGGAAACGAAACAAAGTGATTAAATTGGAATTGGAACAATGGATGAGATTGTAATGGTTTTAATTTGTTTTTTATTCGAATAAACCCAAAATTTGTGAGTGAAAAAATTTCAAGCAATAATAAAATTACAAAAAAAATTGACTGAAATTGTTGACTCACCTGGGATACCACCAAGCCAATGAGCAGCAGTGTGAAAGATCTTCGACTCAGCATTTTTCCAGCTTCAAACTATCAAAAGTTTATTATAAACGTATCAATTTAAGAGAATTGACGAACTGTTTGATGGGCATACGAATCGAACGCATCTTCTTATATACTTTTCAAGTGTGATCACATCAGTAAGCAACACGTGTACATTAACGGTATAATTTAGTCCACGTGTAATGACAATTCTATTAAAAATTACAGAATGTTTTCGCAAATGTTTTGAAAAACAACGCAATTCGATCACATTGAATTTTAAATTCGAGCAAATATTTTTCACTCTTGAAATGTTGAGTTGAAAACATGTCGTTTCAAAGTCGTTTGAAAGTTGAAAAACAGCCACAGACCAACCGTCGCTTACATGCTATAAATTAGAATGTGAATGATCAAACGATATGACGAATACCTTTGCGTTATATCCAGGCTCACGTACCATGGTTGCGTATTTAATGCAAGGATATATGGAATCTTGATATACGTTCAATTTTTATGCGCCTAAATGAATTGTATTCTTGCGTGATTTTCTAATGCCTTTCTTTGAACAAAACATTATCGCAAACATTTTTGAAGAAGAAAATGTCAAACAATTGACGTCAATTGGTGGAACTGTCCATAATTTTGCGTTTCACATTAAATGGAACGCATAGAAAATACTAGATGTTTACGTTCATTCCTTCATCACCATATGGTTTGAAAAACAACGCAATTCGATCACATTGAATTGCAAATTCAAGCAAATATTTCTCACTCTTGAAATGTTGAGTGGCGTTTATTTGACTTATCTGTTTGAATATGAAAATGTTCACATCTTCTCGGTATTAACAAAAAAAACATGTCGTTTCAAAGTCGTTTGAAAGTTGAAAAACAGACACAGACCAACCGTCGCTTACATGCTATAAATTACAATGTGAATGATCAAACGACATGACGAATACCTTTGCGTTCAATGCATTGGCTACAGTGTTGGTTAATACAAGCATATACGGAATCATATTTACTCACTCAATAAGGTGAATAAGTTGGCATCATAGGGTGTCAGCATCAACCAAAATTCAAATTGGCGCGCTGTTTATTTCAAGAAAAAATTACGAAATTACATTGATTTGCCTATTAAAATTGAGGGCGTTCGAGTCGCCACAGTACTCTCAGAAACCGATTGTGGGTATTTCACCTCAAAAGTGGTTTGATTTGAGAAATATGAGGTGTGCTCAAACATTCGAAACGCGCCACATATTTCTCAAATCAAACCCACTTTTGAGGTGATGTTCCATGACAGCTACAAATCCGTGGTGTAAAGTGGTGACATAACCTCAATCAAGTTTTCTGAGTAACAAGGCACAAAAAAAACTTTTGAGTTCATTCCATTTCCGGCCTGGAAATTGAAATTTCGTCACGAAAAAATAAGCGTGGGCAAAAGAATTGGTGCATTCGAACAACTATGCCCTTCCCAAAAAATATTTTTAAAAAACCCTTCGAGTGATTTTCGAAGCCATTTTATATCGAAATTGTTTGACCAAAATCAGTAACCCAGCCCAATTTTCTCTACAAACCGCTAGTGAGGTTTTATTCAGCGAACTAAAATCGAAGGTCCTGCATCTAAGCGTCTGACAGCTCACTTTTAGCGCTACGAGACAAGTGTCAAAAGTTGTGACACAGATCGTTCAATGTGTTATTGAATCTTTTTTATATTTGTTAATAAAGTAGACAAAAAAATAAAAATGATAAACATCAATTTTATAAGTAAAAAATGTTTCTTTCATTACGGAACATTGTTGATGCGTTCAATTTGTCGCGTTCATGAGTGCGTCTAACGACGTAAAGAATTGAAATGAACTTCACTGAATGCGCTCATCGCAAATTCGTGTTTTACTTTGTTTTGTTAGTGTGGTGCAGGGGTTGTGACTAAAATCTACAACTTTTACCATGACACCAGGTACCCATGGTGGATACCAGTGGAGATAAAGTGATAAACCACCCCCGTGGCACTTGCTTGGTGTCTTGTGCAAATGTGAATGTTTTCTATTCTCGTATTCAGTTTTCAGAATAAAAGATCAAAATGTACGATATAAACATGATCACCAATCAATGTAAACTTTGTGCAAGTGCGCTATGATCAAAGCAAAGGCAAATTTCATTTTATTTTGACCAGAAAAAACGCCTAACGTCGTACTCGTAACTAATTTTACTGTACATTTAGATAGTAGAGCTTAAAGAAAAGTTCGGCACTATGCATAAACTGGGAAAGAGCTTGATAAACTTGATAAAATACGTATATATTTTATGGTCGTTGCTACTGCCATATGGATCAAAGGCCCAGTAAATTGAAGCAGCTGTTTTAAAATCGATGCAAAATCCAAACGTAAGTAATTTCCACCAAACTGAGAAGCGATGCACCGAAAAAAAGATAACAATGGAATTTGGTGATGACCAAATCAAGGTTTGAAACACGCGCTGAACGAGTCAATCGCTTTGGCTGACTATTTATTTCAATTGTCACTGTCGTAATTTCTGCTCTTTGGTTATTACTTTTCCGTACACACCGTGTCAAGGGAAAGTATAGGAATTGGTCCCGAAAACTTTTTTCGCAAAATTAGCTTAGATCATCATAAAAACTCATGAAACGCGTAGAAAACCACTTTTTGAGACACTTTTCCGTTCGTGTGCCGTCGTCGTCGTTGTCGTCGTCGTCGTCGTTGGTGTTTCTTAAAACGATAACTCAGAAAATAATTGAGATAATCAAAATCTGAAAGTCCCAAAAGTTTTGTATCCAATAAACTTAGTTTAAGTTCGAAGATGAGCCATTTTCGATTTGACCCTTAGAAAAACCTCAAAAAATTGACACTTTTGTATGGGAGGTACCTGTAAATCGACTCTGATTGGCTTTAAACGTTCTGGGAATTCATTTTTTGGCAGAAAAATAAGATACTGAAAGTTTGAAACCAATCGGAATCGATTTACGGGTACCTCCCATACAAATTTTTTGAAATTTCGACTAAAATTCCCGATTTTTGGACAATTTTGTATGAGAGGTATTTTTGTGGAAATTTCCTCTGAAAAAATTGAGGGCCAAAAACCAAACTTCTGCAAATGCGATCAACAAGAAACTTTCAAAATCTTATTTTTTCTCCAAAAAATGAAACCTCAGAAAGTTTTAAGCCAATAAGAATGGGTTTACGGGTACGTCTCATACAAAATTGTCGAAGTTTTAGTTAAAGTGACCGATTTTTCACTTTATTTTCATTATTATATTTTGACTGCCTTTATTTCAAGAAAATTCACAAAAAATAACCAAAAGTACCTACGGACAACGCAGGCCAACGCAGGCCAACGGTACGGAAAAGTTCGGGATTACCAATGTAATTCTTTTTATTCTTAATTACTTTTTCCTTTTTATTAAATCTTCAGATCCATTAAATTTGAATTCAATTCATTTTGATGATCAGTTTAACTACTTCAGCCTACATACCCAACTAAGCTAACATGCATTTCTGCCAGGTAATTCATTTGGATTATCCATATAATCCTGAATTGCGAAATATTGAGAGTATTTTTTCAAAAAGACAAATCAGTTCAAATAAAATCAATAACTCACACCAAAATCGTAGCCTTCCTTGAGATGGAGGTCAAAAGTCAATTTACCACTTCCTTGATATTGATTGTAGGTCAACGGTAGTTTGTCCCAATCTGATTTACTGCAAGCAGAGAATGAAATTAACACCTTCATGTTGAAAGCCTTTGTTTCAATATTTACTCGAAAAAAACAGAGTTGACCGTGAAACATACGCCTCCTATATAAATGATCTGTTGCTTGAATAGATCGGTGTAGTTGTCGTAGTGTCGGTTGTTGAATTGAATGTTGCTAAACAATTCAATGCAATACGGGAATAACTGAAAAAAGATCAAGGAATGATAGGATGAAACGAATGCAGATGATTGAATAAATGTAAACCAGTTGCTTTATAGTCTCGATTTTCACACCACGGTTACCCAACAAAATGCAGAAAACGAAAATTCCGAAACGTCGAACGGCCGAAAAAAAAATCTCGAAAAAAAATTATTTTTATTAGTAGTATTTTCTGATAGCTAGGTGGATAGAGCAGAGGACCTTCACTCGCACGCGGTCGTTCTGCGTTATCCTCTGCACCTCTGTTGGCATTACCAATTTTATTTTATTTTATTTCGGACTGTGATAAAAATGGTACGATCAACAAAGGTAGGTCAAAAATTATCAATAGTAACGTATAGCGATAGTAACGTATAAATTACAAATTAATAGCTGTCAGAAAATACTACTAATAAGTCATCTATGGAGTCACCGCCCTGATAAACTATCAGTGCATCTAGCGCTTCAGTACAACAACAAATTTGTATATTTGTGCATCATTTGCAAGGTATTGGCGATATAGGTGACGAATGAATAGTATTTTTGAGCAATAGTATTACCCTCCGGTTCTATGAAATGGGACTTTGAACTAATTTTTCTGCGTTTTTGGTTTTCGGTATTTTGGATTCGGCATTTTGGTTTTTGAGATTTTTTTTTCGAGATTTTTTTTTCGGATTTTTTTTTCAAGATTTTTTTTCGGCGTTTTGACGTTTCGGAATTCTCGTTTTCTTCATTTTGTGTGGTTAGCCACACCACAAGTGCTGTTGTGTGCATCCTTACATGCTTTCAAACATTGGGATATAGGTTCAATACATATATATCCACACTATGGTATGCATAAGCATAGGCCATGAGTTGTTCATAGAAGTCCTCACTGGAAATGAAAATATTTCTGGGTTTAAATTTTCCCATCCGCTCGATAGAGCCTCCATCGATTCAATCGAAAGAGTTTTTCAGAAGAATCTTTGCGAAAATTCTCAATGTTCTGCTACAAATTACGGCTTCAAACTACATTCAAATAATTGGTTTTGTTTTATATTTTAATACTATAAAGAAAAAAAAACTAAAAATTAAAATGATTCATTTGAAGTTTTGTCAAAATATGGATCAAACGAAATCAATTATTTTAATAAAATTTAGAATGAATCATTTTTTTTACTTTCTTAAGGGTAGTATTAAAAAATTAATCAAAATCAATTATTTGAATGTAGTTTGAAGTCGTAATTTGTAGCAAAACATTGAGAATTTTCCCCTGCAATAAACCTACTGTTGAGGCACTTCAATGTTGTGTTCTGCGTAATATTTTTAACAAATTGTTCAACTTTCTCGGTGCTTGCTTTGTTATTGTTATATTTTCCGATGCAAACGGACACTGCTGGAAATGCGATGTCCTTGTTTGAAATGATCGTCTCAACCTTGATAACAACCGGACTCTCCAGGTAGTCATTTAATGTGTACAAAGAGACCACAATCATTGCAATAGCCGAAGTAATCAGAACGCACATCCAAAATAGGCTTGAATTTTAAAGTGATGTTACTTCTTGTGGGCACCACATCGCGCATCGACGTTCAATAATAGTATTCAAAAATAAGAGCACAAAGTTTTCTTACCGATCAATCAGTCCATGTCGACGATCTAAATATCGGATGCCATGCAAGCCACTATTCTTCACGAAGTAATTGAATCGACGTACGAATTTGCTGACCATCGTATTATATCGAGTAGCACTCCTAGTATCCCTTTGTCGATTTGTGTTTCTGAATTTGTCTCGATGCAAATGTTTCATTTCAAAATAAATGGGTTCAATTATGCTTATGAAACTGCACCCGAGAAAAAGCGCCGCAGCACCACCGACTGACACTTTTATTCGGGATAGAAGACAAATATTTGGATATTGAAAGGATGTTTCAGAAATGTATGAGGTAGTAATTTAAATAAATCAGAACGCACCAACCAAATAACGAATACCAAATTTTATATCTCGTTTAAGTCTTGTTCTTGAAATGAGGGCTTATTTTGAATAGGACTCAGAAAGTAATTTGATTCATCCGCATCCGACCGAGATTTCTTTGACATGTTTTATATAGTAATGTCAAATACGATGGGTTTCAGCGCCACCTGTCGCACACTTGGTGAAGGCATCTTCACACTTCGAAAAATCGTCACGGGATTTTGCACGGATTTTGTTCACGGGAAATTTCCCGTAGAAGTGCAAAAATCCGCGGTGCATTTGGATTTACAGTTTAAGGAATTTGGTTTCCCGCAAGTGCGGAGGATTCACAGTTTCGGATTTTCTGTCACGTAAAAAAGAAAGGAAGATGCGCGTGAATCCCTATCTTAGCGGAAGAGCGACGAAGGGAAGGTTTCATAAAGACGTAAGTCGCTGTTTATTTACTGAGAATTGAATACTGAAATGTACAAATGTTATTTCCATTTCCTATTGAATAATCTTCAATTCTCCAAGTTCGATGACATGGTACGATGGAGAAACGAATTTTACAAAAAAATAATGTAATGTACGATGAGAACTCGAACAACAAAACCACACAATCAACAACAGAATGTCATTTTCTCTCTCTCTCTCTCTCTCTCTCTCTCTCTCTCTCTCGCTCTCTCTCTCTCTCTCTCTCTCTCTCTCTCTCTTATGAATTTACACCTTGGGTAGTGTTGGCTTCGAACGTCCGTTGTTTTTGTTCGTTGTTCGGTCCGAACAACATTAAATTTTCTATGAAAAAAAAAACTTTGTTCGGACCGAACAACGAACAAAACATTTTCGAACGAACGAACGAACAAAACAGTTTCTTTTTATGTTGACGAACGGTCGAACAAGTGTTCGAATGTGTTCGAAGGCCAACACTAACTTCGGGGAAATCGAACAAAAACGTTTTCCGTCACGGGATTTCAAAACCCGTGACCCATTTAAAATACATTGAAAACCAAATCCCGTGGACCATTTTCCGAAGTGTGAAGAGGTCTTGAACTGTCATCGATATCATTTGTTCGCGCAAACTGAATGGGTCATGTTAAACTGAACGGTGCGCGGACAATTGATATCGATGACAGTTCACAAGGTGTGCGAAAGGGGCGCTGAAACCCGTCGTATTTGAATAAAACCCGGTCGTCCGCATCAGATATTTGCAGCAAAGCTATAGAGCAGATCAAGACCATCAACTGTGCCCAGGACGTCAAAACGCTGTCTATTATCAGTTGTGCAAAAAATATGAAAAACGGCATCAACCCGGCAATGCAAACGTAAACATACTCTCTATTGACACAAAAAAAACAACAACAGAGAACATACTTTCCTTTTCAAAAGTAAAAATCGAAAAATAACATACATACCGTTACGTCTGACCTATAAACATGTTATTGACCAATAGAAATGTCATTCAATAACTCGGAACCTTCAATTCATTAAATATGTATTTTAGAATTGAAGGTTGAATATACATATATGTTCGCGATTTTTTCAATTAAGTATAGTAATCCAAGGGCCTTGAAGATTATCTCCGCGCCTGTTTTAAGTTGTCTAGTAACAAAAGTTGCTTGGATGTCAAATCAACGAGTGATAAATTTTCGTTTTGATCACTTCAAATGGTTTTAATTATTATCAGAGATCAGTCGAAAGCGAAAACCTTTTCTCAAGGTGATATCAATGAAATAAAGAAAGTGGTATAAAGAAACGAATACTCATAGTTCAAGTTTAGATTTAGAGTGAATCGGTTGATTCTTTTAAAATTTAGTTTTAAAATATTTGGTTTTACATTTTTAGGTAACGAGAGATTTTAAAGTGTTTACGTTTCATCAACTAAAATATCAACGCTTTCTAGTTCTGTGCTCATTCCCTGTGTCAATCACCGAAATGTGAATAAAATCAATTTTCTCCTGTATATTTCACTTAGATTCAAAAACACGTGGCTCATGAACATGATCGCCATGCGTTTTTTCGCTGTGCTATCTTTTTCATCTGTTTTAGCTGTAGCTGTAGCCCAATCTGGTATGTAATGATATATTTCGAAGTGTTTCGGTTTAACTGGCAGAGTTTAGTGATTTCTGAAGTTATTCGAATTGGATTAAAATCCTCTTCAACAGACAGTCAAGTTTTGGAACGTTCAGAAGCTCTATTGCTTGTTAGCTTTGTACAAAATTATATCGAATCATTCATTTTAAATGCTCTAGATGAAAAAGGTCTTTGAAGAGCTTATTTTTGCATGTGTATGTTACTACTAGTCTTACTGGATTCGTTGCGCTTTGTCCGTCATCAAAAAACTTTGAGTTGATGAAAATTTAAAGAATTGAATGAAGTAAAAATTCGACTTGTGGTTCGTAAACGGATTGATAAGCAGATTTAGTGACTTCAGTGATTTGAGTTTATCAATTGTAAACAAATCGAAGTGATTGACAATTTTTATCAAACTTGGCTCGTTGTTACCAAGAAGATTGTCATCTTACAACGTCAGAGATAAATGGAACATGTTATACAAAAATGGGAATATAGCGTAGATCCAACCCATTATATCGATGCATTCTATCAAATCACTGTCACTGGAAGTTTCGTACTGAAACCGATGCCCTTGAAATGAATACTCATTACGAATTTTGATAGAGGCACACCTATCACTGCTAATTTCTCTATCTTATCTTGAACATATGAGATTTGTACACTGTAACTTCACTGGAATCTTTTTCAATTCATTCGGATTCCTTAGGTGAAAAATTCAAATGGATTAATAATAAATCCCACTCTAATGGAAAAAATCCCCCTTACTGACATTCTTCAGGAAGTCAAACAATCACATTTTGGATCATGAGCATTAATGTCCAGCGGCTGATCTTTGTTTTTGGGAATTCTACACAGAACTGATAATGATGCTTATGCGTGTGTATTGGTATGTCATTTTGTAGCCACCGATTGAGCATTTACAATATAGAAACGAAATTTGATTGTTTGATTTCCTCGAAAGGCTACTTGATTATTATCGGCCATGCATATGCTTATGTGATTGAAATCTTCAACTATCACAACAAGCGTCGTGTTAGTAGAGCTCGTCTTATGTTCACACTGGAAATACGTGTTTTTGTTGTTGTAGCTTCATCGCCGTGGATTTTTCAACTAAAAAATCCCAACGGATTTTCAAAAAATGAAAATGAGTTAATCTCCAATTTTCAAAACTTGGAAAAAAGCGAAGCCGAATACAGAATATAAGGAAATGGCAGACCAATGGTGTAAAATTTTCACATTTGGCAGTGAGTTTTTTCGCCAGAATACAAAGCGTTGAAATATTTTACTTCATCGCGAGTGAAATAATATATATTATGGGTCGTTGGTCGCTCGAGATATATGAATATTTTATTTGTTTCCACTAAATTCAACACAATTATTACACAGTACGACACATGTTGTAATCTTGTCAAAATGGATAAAATGCAATACAAACACATAACCTCACTTCTTTGAATTGATTGAGACTTTGATGTGAAATAAAAAATGTTGTGTACAATGTTTGGAGCAGATTTTTTGTGTTTGAATTATCCTTGTACGAATTTATCAGTAAACAAAAAATCTGCCTTAAAGCTTGAACGAAAAGTGAAGCGATTTATCTTCTTGTTATCGTTGGCCTTAATGTGCACCTACAATTCCATTATCTGACATGAAGCTTGTATAGTAAGTACTTTGTTCAACAGCTCTTGGTCTATAAACGAGCTAACTTTCAAAAAGTAATGATACAGTTCTTCATTATTTGAGGCCTTCTTTCAGACCTGTGAAGGGCTCTCCAGGGACACGGAAAAAAAACATGTGTCGTACTGTGTTATTCATCATTTATTGGGACCAATTTTCAACTCTCGTTAAAATACATTTTTTTGATATGGTATCTCTATTTCAAATATTGTTCAGTTTGTCGAGGGGAAGACACGAACTATACACTAAGAAAACAAACATTAAAAACGCTAATTCCGTTAATTTGACTATTCCACTAATCCACCGAATCACCATCGGAACTAATTACGGCTGACTCAATTTTAGATTCAACCGATTCAACTTCGGAGGACACAACTTTAACAGCGGAAGCGTCAAGTCTGACTACTGAGGCAGAAAAAACGTCACCAGAGGCATCAACAATGATCAAAAAAGTTGTGTGTCCAATGCCAACACATTCTGAGCTTGCCGCCAATAATCTAGCAAGGTTCAAATTAGAGAGGATCGATTGGAACTTATGTACACATGTCGTCAGTGGCGATGAGAGAGGAAATGGAGGTATGAAGCTACTGAATGAAAGAATGGTTCAAAAAAGACGTCAGTTTCGTGAAGAGATTCTAAAGATTGAAATTGAATTAAATGGACATCTTTTTTTATTACCATATAACCCTCACTGTTCAATTTCATGACAATATCTAAACACATTGTGTAATTTACATAGATGCATGGAATTTGAAACCTGATAACGCTTACAAACAGTTGACGTACTTAAAACAAACTTATCCACACTTGAAAGTGAGTTTACCTCAAAAAATTTGAATAAGATTTTGAAGTGTTTGATGTCAAATATTCTTTCTATATACATATTCTATATAGAAGATACACAATAAAAATATTTGATACATACAGTTTGAATGGATTGATTCATACTATTTTTTTATTTCATAAAAATATTCTCAAACTGAATGAATATAAAATAGAGCCAAAAATACTGTTGTATTTTTGCAGATCAATTTTGGCATCCGTCGCACTTTAGTCGAGTATTTGGATATTACAAGCGATCCAACGCATCAGCGAGGAATCATTGATAGGCTGTATGAATTTATTGCATACAATAATTTCGATGGAATTAATTTGCAGTTAGAAGATATAGAGGAAAGGTATGGATTTCATTTCTTCGCATTTTGACCATTTTTTTGTCATTATAAGCGAATCATTTCTCTTTTTTTAGCAATATTTCACCAGAAGAATTTGATAGAATCGTTTCATTCGTAGCCGCTTTCAAAGCAAAATTGGAAAATAGACAGTATTTGCTAACCGTGTCTTTTACCGTTTCAGAAAGTTTTGACTTTAAACGTTTTGATTTAGCAGCACTGTCAAACTCAGCGGAATTTATTACTTTCGTACCGAATTATAAGCCATCTAAGGATGGTTTTAAAGTAAACGACGCCAAAGAGTCACTAAAAATCTCATATGTTCAAGATAAGATAGAGAAATTGGCAGAGGCAGGTGTGTGTCTATCAAAAGTTGTAATGGGTATTCATTTCATGGGGTTCGGCTTCACCACGAAACCTGATGGCAGTGACGATGATACGACATTTGATAGAATGCATCGATATAATGAATTGGAGCTGTGTAATATTAAGAAATGGACAACAACCCACAAAGACTCCAGTTTAACTATTCGGACAAAAACTACAAATGATGGAATTGTTGTAATGGAAAATACACGTGCGATTGCAAACAAGGTTCGATTTGTAATAAGCCACGGTTTGACTGGTGTTACACCTATCTATGCGCCATTCGATGATTTTTTCGGCTTACACGAAATTGATCCAGATACATTTGAAGATTTCAAGGCTGATGGCATTGTTTTTAAAATTAAACAATTAAGTGGGCACAAACATCCACTCCTTCGAACAATCAATCAAGCATTTGATTTGACTTTCGATGAATGTGCGCAAAAAGCTGAACTTAAAAAAACAACGATAGAAGATGCTATCACAACTACGGACACGATAGAAGTTTCAACTTTGGAGGGCGCGACACCACCAACGGAAGCATCAAGCTGGACTACTGAGGTACAAACCGCGTCACCGGAAGATCCGAGTGTTTCGACAACTGACTCAATCCCAGAGTCAACCGACCCAGCTTCGGAGGACACAACCTCAACAACGGAAGCATCAAGCTGGACTGCTGAGGCACAAACCACGTCACCGGAGGATCCTTGTATCTCGGCCACTGACTCAACTTCAGAATCGATAGAAGATTCGACTTCGGCGGAAATATCATCGAGCACCGAGGATATCACAATTCCGAAACCATACATCAAAGCGCACGACAAAAAGGTTGTGTGTCCAGTGTATACAAAATCTAATGCGATCTTGAATAAAATTTCATTCGATTTCGAAAAGGTCGATTGGAGCATGTGCACACATGTCATCAGTGTGGCTGAGACAGAAGAAGGTATTAACAAATAAAAGTTGAAAACTTTCGATATAAATTATCTCTGGATTTTTGGGGTTAATAGCTTATAGACAAGAGCTGTTGAACAAAGTACTTAAATGCAAGCTTCATGTCAGATAATTGAATTCAATTCAAAGAAGTGAGGTTATGTGTTTGTAATGCATTTTATCCATTTTGACATGATTACAACATAACCTCACTTCTTTGAATTGAATGAGACTTTGATGTGGAATAAAAAATGTTGTGTACAATGTTTGGAGCAGATTTTTTGTGTTTGAATTATTCTTGTACAAATTTATCAGTAAACAAAAAATCTGCCTTAAAGCTTGAGCGAAAAGTGAAGCGAATTTTTTTCTTGTTATCGGCGAGCAGATATTGTGACGTGTATCAAATGAAGATAAAACAATATGATATTTTGAATATTAACATCAATGTGCACCTACAATTCCATTATCTGACATGAAGCTTGCATTTAAGTATTTTGTTCAACAGCTCTTGGTCTATTATCTTTCTTCTTACTGACAGATCCATGGGAATCAAATAATGAGTTCTTGCAGGAAGATCTTAAGCATTTGACAGATTTAAAACAGAAAAATCCTGATCTCAAAGTATGAGTTTGTTCTAATAAGCGTTTGATTGAACGTATTTAAAGGGAATTGATTGAAAATGATTCATACATTTTGGCAGGTTTTAATGGGCGTTCGTCGCAGTTTGACCAAATACTCGGAAATTGTCAAAAATCCAAGTCAATTAAGAAGAATCCTACAGAATTCTCGTGACATCATTCTGAAACATAAAATGAACGGAATGAATTTACAACTTGATGATATTGCGCTTAGGTATGTGTTTCAAAATGAAAGAACATGCCAAACGATTCCCCAGTCGAAAATTATCCCGAAAGAGGCGCCGCATGTCAATAACAACAAATCAGCCTCTATACAATACATATATACAGAAGAATCCTCACTCTTCCCACAGTTGCGACCGATGTGTGTTGTGGCCGAATGCTATCGCATGCCGCTATTGCAAGTGTATATTTGTCAACAATATCCCGTTAGATTTTTGTTCTCAATTATAAGAATTCAAATACTTTACACTCGCACACACAAAGCAACACACTCAAAACATGAAAATACCGATATGGTGTGTGTATGAAATATTGCCGCAGTATTACTGCGTTTAATTTTTCTGAATAATTTATGTTGGTGTGTGGTACAATATGACTTGTTGCCTTTTTCATACAACCGTGAGCAGTGAGCATCACAAATAAATAACTTTTCATTTCAATACGTGTTGGTCATCCTTCACTCAAGCATCGGTTGTTGCGTATTACACACGCTCATTCAAGTGCGAAAGGGACAATCGATCATATTGTACTATCTTTACCTTCTGTATTACGCATCACTGTAGATGACACAGAGAGCGACAGATGCCGGAATATATCATGTATGTGAACACTGCATTTGTGTTTATGTTTGTGTATCCCTGTGAGGGAAACAACGTAAAATCGGTGTAGGTGTAGTTGTTGATGTTTACTAAAATGAAACACGGATCGAAGCACTAGAGCGACATCTGACAAGATTATTCCCATTGGGAAGAAATGAGTCGAATTTTAGATGAAGTTTTTTTCTTAATTAAATTCAATGTATTTCCACTTTCATCACTTCCGTCTGGTGGGAAAAATCACAAGGGAATCCAAGTTTGCAGACAACATACCATAACTTTGACTTTTTTCAATCTTCTTGAAAAACTAATATTTCATTTTCTTCATTTGCAGTACGAATCGGTTATATCTGTTTGATAAATTTGTGCAATTTGTTGCGGCGCTGAAGACAAGTTTCGAGGAGTCTAATCTCTTGCTAACAGCAACGATTAACATACCGGAAACTTTTAATCATGCAAAATATGACTTTGAAAAATTATCGGAATCCTTGGAGTTCATGAATGTTGTACATCAATATACGCGGCCAACGGTTACATATAAAATTGATGATGCGACAAAATCGTTGGAAATCTCAAATGATAAGGCAAAGTTGGAGAGGATGCTTGGAACAGGTGTGGCATCGGAGAAAGTTGTATTGGGGGTACATTTTACGGGGCCAGCTTTCGCTTTAACAGCCTATGGTAAAGAGTATGACGCTGAATTCCAGAACATACACGGATATGGATCTATTTGTAAAGCTCAATCGACTCAGCCAGAGAGGTGGGAAAGATCCTACACAAATACTCGTGTTCCTATCTTAAGAAAAACTGGAAACGTTAATTTGGTTATTGCCATTGAGAATTCACGTTCAATTGCAAACAAGGTGCGATTAGCAATTAAATATGGCTTAGGTGGTATTGCACCAAATTCCATTGTGTATGACGATTTTGACGGCAAATGCGATGTTTATGATACATTCGATGATTTTATACCGAAGGAGGGAATTCTTTTGGATATTCCACAACGAACAGGAAATTCAATTCCACTGCTTCGCACCATTAATGAAGCGATCAGTTTGACATTGGACGAATTAAAACAGGAGGTGAACATAAGTCAAGTTTCTGAAACAACCAGTACCACTACCTCTACCACCACGCCAGAAACAACAACAGGTACATATAATAGTTCAACATCAATTTACGCTCGGGTTCTGACCGTTCTCTCAATATTACAGGATCCACCAGTACAGATGCGACAATCCCAGATGAAACAACAACCTCAGGAAGCGTGTTTACAGACGCGACAATGCCGGAAACAACTATAGGTATACCTATATGATAATAATTTATCGCCAATGTCTGCTCCAGTTCTAACCGCTAGCTCCATATTTATAGGAACCACTAATATGACCATGACCATGACCAACACAGAAACATCAACAAATATCACAACGAATTCAACTCAAGCGTCTAGATCAGCCTATCATTTCACCAGCAGCTCTTGCTTGACAATTTTAGTATTATTTGTCACATTGATATCATGATGATATTATTATCTAGGGCATCAATTTAAGTGAAATATTCGAAACTTCATTAAAACCCATAGAAATGTAAACTAACTCACATTTTAGTAAATAAAGAAATACCTAAATGTAGCTTCATACAAATAATTCGACACATGTTATGGTACATCAAACACACGTACTGTCGATAATCTCTTATTCGAATTGATATCGCCAATAATCTACTTGTTGTTAGTGTGTTCGTGAAATCTATAACTTCAATAGATATTTCTGTTTTTTAATTGCCAATTTGCGCCAAGTATTCGTCGAGAATGATAACATTTTTAATTTCAAGTGTTTCGATTTTATCGCCGTGCTTCTTGATAAAAGCAAATAGAGAGCTGTGAGGTGTTAGCCAAACTGGTGATTTTTCATATCCAACATGGGTAGACTCATTTCGAATCAATTGTTTACTTTGTAGGAAATCTTCTACAGTATTTTAGATTCTCAAATTGATGATGTATGGACCTTTCGCATTGATATTCCTGAGAATACTTGGTTCACATTTATGCAAACTCAGTTCGGTAATATTTGCATTATTACTTAGGGCTTCCACAATACCTTCATCGGCGAAATGACGACGAAATACGCGAAAGTGTCTGAAAAAAACGCTTTCTAAATAGTTTTGTCTCGCTCGTAAACGAGTCGATTTGGGAAAACTACTTCTTTCAATCCACTTGCGTTCTTTAAATTCGGTGCAATCGACAGACATTTGGCGAACATTCGGATAGGAGCGTTTCAAATTTAAACGCACGTTTTTAAAGTCATCGGAGTCACCACGGGAAAATGATAAATTTTCAACATTTGGAAATGAAATTTCCCTATCAAGTACATTTGACGAAGAACCACCCACTTCAAGTTCAGTCAATGTGTTGGCGCGATGCTCCTCAACCGTATCTAATATTTCATGGAGATCATAATCCTCGAATTTTGAAAGTCCCAACGAGAGCTTTTTTATGTGGAGATTGAATTCAATTAATGCATTCAGAGATTCAGTAAGCGTAGAAACCATTTGAATTGACCCATCAGCCGCATCAATATGTATTTATTCTGATTAATTTTCATAGCCCCATACGCGTCGTAATCTATCTATCTTTGGTTTGAATTCAAATAAACAAATGGACTTTGAAAGCATAACTCAAATTGAGACCTGAAAAAACAAATGAACCAAGTGACAAAAAAACATTGTTCATTCCAAAACATAATGTAACCACTTTTCCGGTTCTTCAGACAATCAGCGACGCACTTTTTGCGCAGTGCAAAATACCACCACAGGAAATCGGTTCTGATTCCATATATCGTGGTGGATACTATCTATGTATACAGATAGCCAATTCAATGTTCTGTTTATATCGTTTTGACACTGGTGGCTATCGCGATGCGATAAAATCGCATTTTTTGGTGATTCGATCACATAAAGGCCATTCATTCCTGGGGCGAAGACCGCGAATATGTTGCCATAGTTAGAACTTCAATATGTAAAAATTAGTTATGACAAAATGCCATGGTTTAGTTTCAGAATAATTACAAGTTTCAATGTGGTCATTTTTGATAGATTTCAGTGAATGGAATAGATTCAGGCTTAAAAGAAAATGAAAGATAATAGTGACAATAAACTTACTATCAGCAATCAAAGAACGTGTGAAGAATTTATACCATTTGTGCTTTTTGCAATAATATGGAGACGCCATGATTATTTACCAATCAATACTACTGAAGTACGGTGTATTTGAGTACGTACCTTCTCCACTAGTGCTTGAAAGCACAATGGTATAAAAATCTTGGTTTCAAAACAAAATGTTTTGTTCTTTGTTACTGTATTTGTACATTGTATAATCTGTGCAAAAGGTTATCTTATCACGTCAGACTTTGGGCTGTTTACCTTTGTCGGCACCAAATCTACTTCGAACGCGTAATAAACTTAATCGGTTGCTCATTTGAAATTCCATGAATAATAAAACGTGAGTCAAATGAATGAGAATTCACTTCTTTTTTGTTGTCTTTGTTGTGTTGCTGACAATCATGTCTAGCGTTTTATCATCCATTCGTGTTGGAATAGCTGAGATAAAGTTCTTTCTTTTGATCTTTAAATCCAAACCATCTTTTTATCTTACTTCGAGGGATTTTCTCAAATTCAAAACATTTTTGCATTGAATAAATTCGTCACGATTAGTCATTATGTTTATTAAACTCTGTCAAATCTTATCTTTTTTCGATAAAACTGAGAATATAATGTGGATATCGGCAAGAACTCCCATTCGAAGCTGGTTTATTCTTAGATTGATTCGGTACGATGCGTTTCATCGGATTTTTGGCTATTCTTGGTGTTTTTGTGGCGGCCACAGCTCAAGCTGGTAAGCATAGATTTGTTTTGAAATCCCTTTGTCCCTTTGTAATCAACACTTTAACTGAATCTTTTTGTGTCGGCAAGCGTAAAGCTTTGAATGAAATTATTCTCAATGTAATTTTATTAAGTCGATTCTTATTTCCGGCATTTAGCTAATGACTAAAAAAAATCAAAGCTAATTTTACAGGCCCATCACATGGAAAAGTTGTCGCCTGTTACGGATGGACAAGTCAACTGCTCCCATACATGGGAACAAATGTTCGTGGAGATGTCGTTGCATTCGAAGATGCTGACTTGAACTTATGTACACATATTCACCCTTTTCTCAGAGCAAGAGGTATTTGCTATGCAATTTATTGTTTTTTCTTCTTACTTTTCATTTTGTAAGTTATCAATTTGGCCATTCTCATCAAAATCTTCAAAATTTTGTTTGCAAACCCGGGTAGATTACGGGTTTCAATGCAATTTTATTCTAATTTTGAATATAAATTCACAGAACCTTGGAATTTCACATCAGTGATGAGTGATGAAGATGAAGAAGAATACAAACAGTTGATAAGATTGAAGCTAAAATATCCCCATCTGAAGGTGATTGTCACGAAACGTTTTTCAAATTGAATTTCATCATGTTGAATTGTTTTACTATGCAGATAATGATGATGATTGAATTTCGCTACATAGCTCAGTACTATGGTAATTCGGTACAATACCAAGCATGTATAAAAAATATCATAAATTTTCTTCTGCGCTTCGATTTTGATGGTTTGGATATCATTAAACAAGAAAATTATGATTTCAAAGGGTGTGTAATGTTGTCAATTTGAGTAAAATGTGACAATTTCCCAGCTAATAATAATAACTTTCCGTTATTTTCTAGTCAAACGGCAAGGCATGTGACAACTGTAAAAGATCTAAGAAAAAGTTTTCAGCATTTCAATTTGCTTCTCACGGTCACTTGGGGAATTAAAGAGGGTGATCACAATTATATCGCTCTTTCCGAATACATAGACTACATGCCTGTCATAAGTTCCACTGCTGTCTATTCATCTACGGAAGAGGCGATAAGCGATCTGCACATCACGAATATGGAAAAAAGAATCAATGAAATCATTTCAAGGGGATTTCCATCATCAAAAGTGGTTATGAATTTGTATTTTTACGGATATCCGATTCACAGATTTGGCTCAGATTCTTTTTCAGGTGGACAACCATATAACCAATTGTGTAATTCAAATTTAAATGATAAAACGTCAGGTTGGGAAAGGCATTATCATACAGGGGCCAATTTGGTCACTCTTCAAGCTAAAAATGAAAACAGTGAGATTCGCGGAGTGATTTTCCATAATACACGATCGATGGCTAATTTAGCACGTCTTGCGATAAAATTTGGCTTGGCTGGTGTGGCGGTCGTATCAATAAATTTCGACGATTTCCGCGGCAAGTGTGGCATCGAAGAAGATACATTCGATGACTTCAAGCCAACCACGAAATTTTCAATGGACATTTTGAAACGGAAATTTCCGCTTCTGCGAACAATCAATGAGGCAATCACTGTAAGCCTGGATGAAATAGGAAAAGAACCAAAACCAATCAGCAATCCATCTGGGTGTCACCCATTTAGTAATTTTTTCTGCAATTTTTTACATTTCTGTTGATTGAATCATTTGGTTCACAGCGAATTCAAACATTAATTAAATTAACATTATTGAATTAATTGATTTTGTATTTCATCGAGTTGCAACTCAATTTCTTGAACACCAAGGTGTCTTTTTTACGTAAATAAAGTTTGATATTTTAACAGGGAGTGTAACTCCGAGGAGGAGGAATGGTGATGAGGTGAATGAGGAGGAGGAGTGCGCTGAGGAGGTTCCTCCTCCTCACATGAGGAGGAAATAAAAATTACCAAAATTGAGGCATATAAATTTATTTTAAACACTTTTATTGATTTGGAACGGATGCCAACGATAAAAAACTACGATCAACATCAATAGAAGTGTTTAAAATAAATTTATATGCCTCAATTTTGGTAATTTTTATT